CTTGTCCAGGGTGGCCTGTGCTGGCACGTGCCTGGGGCATGCAAGGTGCCGAGAACAGACCTGCCAGGGGGTGGGTGGGGCCGTGGGCAGTGCCAGTCACGGCAGTTTAGAATGAAAAGGGCCCTGGGAAGCCAGGGGGTGAGGTGCAGGGTTGCTCCAGCTGCGGGGGTGAGCACTGCCGCAGCCTCTGATCTGCTGGGGCCTCCTGTCCCGGCAAGGTCCTGGGCACTGGCGCTCTGTGATGGATGGGTCTGTTCAAACAGCCTCTCAGAGTGCTACTCACACTGCAAACATCCCGTAACAACCCACCCACAGGCAGCCCCCTGGCAGCCACCTGGGGGCAAGGGTCCCCAGCCCTGCCAGGCAGCCCCCTGGCAACCACTGGGGGGCGCCAGCACAGCCTTCTGACCAGAGCAACTTTCTTGGATCAGACCAGTCGCCCATCTAGCCCAGTATCCTGTATTGCAACAGTAGGGAAGGAACAGGACAGGGCAGCTAGCGAGGGATCCATCCCTTGTCATCCAGTCCCAGCTTCTGGCTGTCTGAGGCTTAGGGGTGCCCAGAGCATGGGGCTGCGTCTCTGGCCGTCTTGGCAATTGAACTTAACTAATTCTTTTCTGAGCCCAATTATACTTTTGGCCACTCCGGTGTTCCCGGGCCAGGAGTTCCACAGGTTGGCTGTGTGCTGGGTGAAGATGTTCCTTGGGTTTGTTTTACACAAGCTGTCTGTTAATTTCATTGGGTGCCTCCTGGTTCATGTGGTATGTGAAGGGGTCGATAATACGTCACTGCCTCCACCCTAGTGCTGGTTTTATAGACCTCTGTCCTATCCCATCTCAACCTCTCACTCCTCCCCCGTCTCAGTCCCAGGTGTCTTAATCTGTCACACACAAGCTGCTTCATCCTCTAAATCATTTTTGTTGCTTTGCCCCATCTCAAAAACAGATAGGATTAGGGTTAGCTGTCCCATGGAGTCGCACAGCGGCCTTGTGATATTTTCTATCAGTCCCACTCCTAATGTGCTGTTCAGTTTGCTTATGGCCCTGCTCATTGAGTGGATGTTTTCAGGGAACCAGTTGCAGTTAGGGATGTGTAAGCGTAACAGTTAACCAATGAGCCTGAGCTCATTAATTAACATTCACAATTACACACAGGCTCCTAGTAGGTGTGGGGAGCCGGCTTTGAGCTGACGCAGCAGCAGCGCAGGGCAGCAGGTGGGAGCTGTCTTAAAGGCTGGGAACTCAGACACACAATCCCAGGCTCCAAAGGCTGTGGTCTTAGCCATTAGGCCACTGGGACACACCCCACCTCCCTACCTCCACTTGATGCCTTATCCTCTCTATCTTCAGTTGATGCCAACTTAAAAGCCGGCTTCCCATGTGCACCGGCAGCCGACTGCTGCCCTGCATGTAACCGTGTCATTTTAACATCCCTAGTTACAACGACTCGCAAGATCTTTCTTGTGCGGTAACAGATCATTTAGACCCCATCATGGTGTATGCACGGTTGGGATCACGTTTTCCAACATGCATTACTTTCATCTGCCATTTTGTCGCCCAGAGTGCTGGGATCCCTTGGTAACTCTCTGCAATCAACTTTGGACTTGATCTTGAGTTGTTTTGTATCATCTGCAAACTTTTCTGCCCTCGTCAACTTTGGACTTGATCTTAAGTTGTTTTGTATCATCTGCAAACTTTTCTGCCCTCCCATTTCCAGATCACTTCGGAATATGGAACAGGAACAGGCCGTAGTACAGATACATGCTTGCAAAACCTCACTATTTACCCCTTTCCATGGCAAAAAGTGACCATCTGATCCTATCCTTTGCTTCCCATCTTTTAGCAATCCAGTCCCCTCCCCTGATGCAGGCCTGCTGGACAGCCCTACAATCCCTTCCTGTGTTTTGGGGGCGGCTGTGTTCTCTGTGTGCAGTGTCCAACACAGTCCTGTCTGGGACCTTTGGGCACTACCGTAATATAACTATAACGAGAGCACTCGGCCTGGACCTGGCCGGCAGCCCAGCAATAACAAACCAGGCATCTCTGGCATGGCCTCCTCATGCAGCCAGTGTGGGGGGGGAGGCCCTTGATGAAAGGCGAGCCAGATCTTGCAGGAGAGCCCGAGCTTTGACTCTGGTTTTGCCGAGATGGTTGTAAAAGAACAAAGGGGGGGTTATTTTTCTATTTATTTTTTGCTTAGATTGTTCCTCTTAATTACACCCCCCCCACACACACACACCCCGCTGCTCTATCTTCTAAATCAGTGGTTCCCAGCCACCGGTCGGCGACTCTGGGGGCCAGGGCTGGGATACACCACCTAGCGCCTCCCACCATGGCTGTTGGGAGAGGCGTGTCCTGCCCCACCTATCAGTGCTGGGCAGGGGCACAGGCAGGTCCCTTCCTGGACGCAGAAGACTGCTTCGCTGCGCCGCCGGAGGGCCACGTGGAGCCCGGCACGGCAGCCTTAGAGCAGCCGTGACCCGGCAGCAGGGCTCAGCTGGTGGCTGGGAGGCAGGGCAGGCACTAGGGCTCCAGGGGTAGTGCTAATGCTGGGGGACGTCGGGGTTGGGGGCTCTGAGGCATCTGGGGTGGGGACTTGGCACAGGAGGGCTCTGGGGGCGGGGCTAGTAGTGGAAGGGCTCCAGGGGCAGGACTGACTCAGGGGGAGGGGTGCTGCTGTGGGGCTCTGGAAACAGGAGGCTGGCACTGGGTGGGTGGGGGCTTTAAGGAGCGGGAGGCTGGCACTGAGGCATTTGGGATGGGGAACTGGCTCTGGGGGACTCTGAGGGCCAGAGGCTGGCACTGGGTGGGGGGGAAGGTTCGGTGCAAGGGGCTCAGGGATCAGTGGCTGATGCTGGGGGTGATGGAGGGGTAGGCGGTTCTGGGTGCAGGGGCTTTTGGTGGACTGGTAACATTTTATGCAAATATTGATTATGCAAATAACGAATATGCAAATTGCAAATAAAATGTTGCCAGTCCCCGGTATAAAAAAGGTTGGGAACCACTGTTCTAAATCCTAATGAGCTATTTTAACAGGCTACAGTGGGAGTTCCTGGATTTGCTTCAGATATTGTTTGAATTAGATCAGTGCCTAGATGCTCCAGCTGCAATGGGGGGGGTGGCCTCTTCATGGTGGGTGCTGCACAGGCCATCCATCTGAGATTGGGACCCTCATTGGGCAGAGTGCTGCAAGATCAGTGCGGAGAGACTGTTCTCACCCCGGAGAATATACAATCTAAATGAAGGATTATCCCTCTTTACAACTGGGGAAACTGAGGCATGGGGCTGGGCAATATGGGGGAGGCAGTGGGGGAGGTCTAGGTTGGATATTAGGAAAATTTATTTCCCTAGGAGTGTGGGGAAGCACTGGGATGGGTTCCCTAGGGAGGGGGTGGAATCTCCGTCCCTGGTGGGTTTTAAGTCCGGGATTGACACAGCCCTGGCTGGGATGATTTAGCTTTGGGCAGGGGCTGGACTGGATGACTCCTGAGGTCTCTGCCCGCCCTGGGATTCTCTGACGTGCCCAAAACTGCTCGGCAGAGCTGGGAATAGAGTCCAAGTTTCCTGACTCTGAAGCTGGTGCTGCCTCTCACCCATCTCTACGTCCTTTGTTTGCAACAAAATCTCCCCCTGTCCACAAAGTGGCCGGGGCATTTTTAGGAATGGGTGCAGCTGGACGTGCGCCTGTATCCTGCTCCCGCAGAGAGGGTCCGTGGCAGCTGGCGCTCCCCGGGAGGAAGTCTCTTCCCACGAGGTCACTTGGTAGCACAGCAGCTTCCTGTTTGTGGGGCAGGGTTTTATAAGGCTGTGACCAATTGGTTGCGGTTAGATGCTCAGTCCTGCAACCTCCAAGTCACCTGACGCTGGAGTAGGGCGTGTGGGGACTGGAATAGAGGGGGTGGAGGCTGTGGGTTGGGATTGGGGGGCATAGGTAGAACTGATGGGGGTGGGGAGCCCAGACTGGGTTAGAAGGGGATCCCGAGTTAGGGGAAATGGCTAGATGAAGCCCAATGGTGGGTAAGACCAGGAGCCCCAGCCATGCCTGCAAGATGCCCTGTGCGGGGCAGAGGGGAGCAGTGTCCTGGGGTCTCTAACTCTGGATTCTTGGTGCCCGCAGAAGGCTGGGGAGGAACCGTCCGAGGAGAAGGGGGTGGAGGAAGAGGATGACGAGGCTTCCACCATGTCGGAGGGCTCCGAGGCTCCGGACTACGAGGCGGCGGGCACCAGGGCTGGGCTGGAGAGTGACGGCAAAGCAGCCCCCGCCGAGCAGAGCCAGATGAACGGGGACTGTAAGGACAGCAGGCGTGGGAAGGACTGCCCCGCGGGGGGTGGCCACGCCAGGGACTTGCACCCCCCAGAGGAGCACTCCCCGGACAAGGGCTCCGAGCGCCCCCACCGCGAAGGCAGCGAGAGGCGTCATGCCAAGGCCTGCTCCCCTGGGGAGAGCGCCTGCCAGCAGTTTGGAATGGGCAAGAAGGAAGGGGCTTCCTATGGGCAGCCAGACAGAGCAGGTATTGGAGCGGAGAAGGGGAAACCAAGGTTCTGTTTGGGGAGAGGCCAGTGAGTTGGCAGTGGCTGAGGTCACACGTGCAATGAGCTTGGCAGATCTCAGCCTCAGGGACGTTGTGAAATTCTGCTCAGCTGGGCTGGCTGCGCCTGCATTTGGGGGGAGACCTGGTATATCCAGGGGGCTGCAAGACGAGATTGCAGGGCATCGGAAGAACAATGGGAAGAGGGAACCCAGGGCAGGGATAGGAGGGGGTGCGGGTGGGGATTGGGGAGTGTCAGCTGAGCTTTGGGAGTGGAAGGAAAGCCAGGACTGTGGAACAAAATTGAGGGGCATCTGCTGGGCTGGAGGAGGTCACGGGAGCCAGGTGCTGTGGGGTGCTGATTTCCTCACGTTCCGTGGGGCGATGAAAGCCCTGTGCGTGCGTGTGCTGTGCCCGACATCTCTCACCCTGTCGCTCTCTCCTGCTTGCAGTCTCTCCAGCTGTTGCGGGCGCTGACCCCCCTGTGCCCTTGTCCCCCGGGCGGCCCGGCATCCAGGCAGCAGATGGGACACCGTTCAGCTGCGTGTAAGTCAGTGGTGGGCAACCTGCAGCCCACAGGACACATGCAGCCCCTCGGGGGTCTGTGTGTGGCCGGCGAGATGTTTTGTTTTACTGTTGCCCCTGTGCCACATTCTGCTGGTTTCCAGCCAGGTCGGTTTTTTTCCTACCAGTTTTGCTCAAGTGACATGCAAGTAAAGCCAGGGCAGGTGAGGTGAGGTGGCTGCTGATGGCACACAGCACTGACCGGGAGAGCTGGGTGCGCTCTCTGCATCTGATCACAGTGCTGCCACGGTGCAATCAGCCCCCACCCCGCCCCGCCCCGCACGTTCTAGGTTTGCAAGCGCACTTAGCAAAACCAGCCGACCCCAGGAGACCTTCTTGGCGGTGGCAGTCTCACTGAGCTGGAGAAGGGCCACTCGTGCAGCCATTCGCTAGGCTGCCCATTGCTGGTGTAAGCCCCAGAGGGGTCGCCGGGTTAGTCCTACAGCGCCTTAGAGACCAACAAAAGTCTCCCAAGTCCTGTGCTTGCTGGCTGCTCCTCCCACTTACTGCCACCAGGGGGCGTGCCCTCTGCCCAGCGCCTGGAACTGATCAGCTCCTCCATCCCCCAGGGATCAGCCCCTCTCCCTGGCCACCGGGATCTTAAGTCTCCACACGTGGCCTGTTTCCCTGCTGTGCCCACCAACCCGCCGCAGCTCCTGGCCCCGCCCATGGGGGATGTTCCTCCATTCGCTGCTGGCAGCCCCATTCCCTTCCTGCGTCCGTGGGCTGCCTGGGGGCCCCCCTTGCAGAGGGACTGGCTCTAGCATGGGAGGGGTTGAGGGCAGGGGAATTCCGACCTGGTGATGGGGGCAGGGCTGTGTCTGCCTGGGAGGGGAGGGTTGTGGCCCGGAGGCTGATCTCTGTTGCCCTTCCCCCGCCCAGCTCGGTGAAGAAGGAGAAGCCCTCGGACCCCGTGGAGTGGACAGTGATGGACGTGGTGGATTATTTCACAGAGGCTGGATTTGCAGAGCAGGCGTCGGCCTTTCAGGAGCAGGTCAGTGCAGGGGGGATGGATAATTCCTGAAAGGGGGGAGGCCCCCAGCCCCTCTTGCGCCCTGGAGTCTCACCCCAGCCAAGCCAAAACTGGAGCCAGGCCAGGGTCCCTCCACCTGAGAGCAGCCCTGGTCCAAGTCCCTGCCCAAGGCAGATGGTGGGGGGGGGAGCAGTGTCTCTCCCTGGCCTGGCTTGGCCTGGGAATGGGGCCGAAGAGCTGCAGCCAGACCTTGGGAAGAGCCACCTGGGCAGCTGTGGGGAGCCACAGACCCTGCATCTGCCTTAGGCAGGGGATGGAGACACACGGCAGGTGCAGCTTTCAGGGCCCTTGCTTTGGGTAGGTGGAGGGTCCCCAAAGTTGCCAGGGCTCCCTAGGCTGCTCTTACCCAACTGGGCTCAGCTTCCAGCCTGGCCAGGAGACAGAGCCTCGGGGAGGGGTGGGGGCAGGACGCTGGGCCCATGGTGAAAAGTGGACAGGCCGTGGTCCCGTGGCCCGTCCTGGGTCAATGCTCGGAGCGCAGACGCCTCCCAGAGGGCAGCTAGAGAGCAAGGTGTGGCGAGAACCAGCCCTGGAGAGGGGAAAGGCCCCATGTCCCGTTCCCCAGCCCCTGAGCCAGCCAGACATCCCCGTTAACCTCCCTCTGTTGCCTGTTGCAGGAGATTGACGGGAAGTCCCTTCTGCTCATGCAGCGCACGGACGTCCTGACCGGGCTGTCCATCCGCCTGGGCCCCGCACTGAAGATCTACGAGTACCACATCAAGGTGCTGCAGCAGAGCCACTTCGAGGAGGACGAGGTGGACTCCTTCCTGGGCTGAGCAGAGAGACGGGGGGATCGCAGCCAGGGCCGAGGGGGACTGTGCCAGCAGCCACCGCCTCCTGCCGTCCCCTCCCTGCCTGCTGCACCCCTTCCCCTGGGCATCTTGGGAATCAGCCCTCCCAGCATCCCTGTCTCCATGGAAACGGACGATGGGGGGAGAGGATGGGGGGTGTCAATCAGCCTTGGGCTTTTGGTGTAGGGAGGAGAGGAGCCAGGAAAGGACCTGGCGTCCTAGCTCCATCCCCCCTCCCAAGTGGCTGGCGAGAGCTAGGAAAAGCTGTGGTGGGGAGGGAGTGAAGGAGTAGGATTCAGATGAGGGGTTTACAGGGTTGTTTCTTTGCAGGGGGGGGGGAATCGGTGCCTAACATTGCCCCCCCCACTCCTCCACTGTGTTTAGTCCCTTGGTTAGTCTCACATCGTAGCAGCGTTGTCCATTTCAAGCTGGGGGAGGTGGGAGAGGTAGACTTTTTGCTCATTTCATGTCCAAGAAATGCCTGAAGACTTGGGCGGGGGGCATCTTTTAGCCCCCTCTTCCCGGTCTTAGGACATGGCACTCTGGTTTTCTCTCCTCTCCACAACATCTGGTCTCCCTGCTGTCCAGATAGCGTGGGGCAAGGAGTTTTTGGGGGTGGGTGGGGTACTTAGGGGTGCCCTGCATCAGGGGAAGGTTTTAACAGGGGATCCTTTTTATTCTCTGGTTTGTGGAGGAGGAGTAAATTTTTTTTTTTTTTAACATTTCAATAGTTGCTACCCAGAGTCAGTTGCTTTTTAATATCGCACCCTCCCCTCCCCCACCTCTCTTTTTAAATAAAAAAAATTAAAAACAAGAGAAACCCCCGCTGGTGAATGTTTCTGGCCCCTTTCAGGGAAGGGAGGGGGGTAGCTCAGGACAGCTGAGAGATGAGTCTTATGTCTAAAGAAAGTGGGGTTGGGAGTCAGGATCCTGGAGTCTGGCCCCAGCTTGGGTGGTGGTTGGGGGTCAGGACACCTGGGATCTGTTCCCAG